TTTAATATTCCCAAATATATGATTTAAGTATATCGGGCTTTATTCCCAGTCTTTCCTGTATGTTTTTGCTTTCAATATAAACTTGTAAATTCTGTGTTAGTTGCATTTTTCTGGGTATAGTCTTTTATAATTGGGTTTGCGATATGATAAATGTTCACTCTCACCAACCTCCGCCGCCAATACCAGAACGTCCGGGGTAAGAAGTCTTCAGGGCGCCTTGGTCTCTTTTTGAGGAAGGCGGGTTATCCCCGCCCTCCTCGTTTCCATCCATTTTTATTATTTACTCGTTATATATACTTCTAATTTGTCTAATATTTTAATTATTTAAAAAGAAATAATATTAAAATTAATTAAAACAGACTTTGAAAAAATAAATTTGAACCGCGCTTTTTCAAATTCCCGCCAGAATCCTCTCTCATATCATAAAGTATAGGTGTTAGTGGAGGGGTTCGGGGAAGACAAAATAAGTGAGTGACTGTGGTAAAATGTCATTTTAAATGTAAATCTTTGCTGTGCATCACAGTATCAGTACAGCATCATAGTATAGAACAAAGTCGTCCGTAGATCCTTAAAACCACGCAACCGATCTTGAAGCGTTTTTTTTAATTAAATAGAGTGATTCAAGAGGAAGGTTTATATGTATAATACATTGCACCCGTGCCAAGCGGGGGCGGGTCGCTAGTTTACATATATAAGAGCTGAGCACAGTAGAGCTGAGCTGAAATCAGTATAACATGACAAAAATATTATACAATATTCAATCAAATGCGTTTATTTATATAAAAAAAAGATTCTTTTCCTGATGTTATTTATTTATTTAAACATTTACAGTTACCAACAGAATTATACTATGTATAGTATTAATTTTCGGGTGTTTTTCGACGTAAAAAAATTTATTCGGTAAAGAAAAATCATTAATAAAATACTCACCAAGCAGAATTTGGCGGTCGCTTATAGTTGTTTTTCTTATGCTGTGCTCAGACGCTGAACTGTCATGGCAATATCAAAAATATGTATACTCAATGAAAATCTTTAAAAAGTAAATTTTTGTAGATAAATGAACAAAAACTTTTGGCGCTGCGAGATTTGAACCTGAGTTTTCTGGTTTCGCACTCAGACGCTTTAGCAACTAAGTTAAGCGGCTGATGACTTCACGGCGCTTAAGTTAGACATGAATCGATGTTCTTTCTATTGCATTTTTTAGCAAAGCTTAGTGCCATCTAGTGTTCACACTTACAGCATACAATACCTTAACTTTTTTAAGATTAATTTTTATGTGCTAGCTGCACTCAAGTTGAAACTTTAATGCCCGGTTTCTAAGGAACCTTTATCGGTAGTTTATCTATTCGTTAGCGCTATTGGTTCGATAACTTACGAAAGTGCCTTTCTGAACAACGTCACGTAAGATTAACTCCATTTAAACTTAAGTTAACCTTACTGACCAATAAGTGCCGTTTATCGGTTCTATAACTCTATTTGACCTTTTATTTCATAGAAAACTCAAGTTTTATTTTAATTCGTGTTATATTAAAATAAATTACCGGTGAGACCTAGTATTAAAATCGTGCAAAGAATAAAAGAGCGTTATATTTATTTGTTAATGCCATCCAAGCTTGTTTCTTCGCCTCTATTGAGATCCCATACGTCTTTTTGTTATTGGTTACAGATATAAAGTCCTTGGCTACTGTGATAAGTAACATCTCTATTTCAGTAAATATTTTACTACTTATTCTAAACTCCATTATTGTTTTTTTTTATAAAAGAATAGTTAAAGTTAAGCAACGTTCTAGATCAAAACTACACTTGTAATTCAAATTTGAACTAATAAAACCCCCAAAATTAAACGCCAAAACCTAAGCACTAATTTTTGATCATTTCCTTAAAAAAACATAACAAATTTATACTAAAACAGCGCCTAACAAATTATTTACCTTAAAAATATTATTATAATTAAAAATAAAGAATAAATATAATTAATTTAAATTAAATCTAACTTTAATTAATTGAATTAAACAGACCCATCTAGCGGGAGATAACGAACTACTTATCGATTCCATCCGTAATTATTGAATAGTTCGTTGAGTGTTCAGAAACAGCAGATCGAAGTATATAGTATACTTAACTTTATTGAGCTTATAGTTAATCTGAGTTTAATCGAGAGCTTTAGAGACAGAACAAATTTTTGTAGATAAATTATATATATATATATATATATATATATATATATATATATATATATCGGAATTTCCATCCAAAACGTTTTTTTAATTATTTTGTAGGACGTCTATCGGGTCTGCTAGTAGATCTATAGAATATCGCTGTTATAGCTTAATAAAAAAAATATTCACATGTAATGAAAAAATTAAGGAAAATGTGCTTTTCTGTTTAAATTATACTCCAGGCTTCTTGTTAGTCGACATTAGTGATTTATTACACAAATTTTCAGTCATATTTCTGTGATATACCTAATAAAAAAAGTTAAACTTTTAAGTAATTTTAGTTTAAGTTTGACTAATTCTTAACTCAATTATTTTAACGTGATGGTTACGAAAAAGTATTAAAGAGAGAAGATTGGCCCCTACTCAAAGGTAAGCTATTGATTACAGATCGGTTAGTCGGTATGTTTTTCAGAGACCTTTTAGTACCTGTTGAGTAGGAGAAGTACTTTCTGTTTAATGTTATTAAAATAAAACTCATATAGGTAATTCATATTATATGTTCAGTTCTTGTATAGCTTGTAACCAACCGAATTATTTTAAGTATATTAGAAATGAATTTAAGAAAACGTATAATAAGTATACAACAGAAAGTCATAGTACAAGGTTAATATAAACAAAAGGTTACTATAAAATTGTAATGTCTGAATATATTATTCTATTCTCACTTTGCAGTTAAATATTTTACGTAGCGCTTGAAGTATACTACAGGGAGCTTGCGGTCATTTAATAATAAAACTTAACACCGTGTACTTTGAGTTATCCTATTAACTCATCGTGTCATTGAGTTATGATAGTAGACTTAGCGTGAAGTCAGTAAATGACCTAATTTTAATTATCCTACTGACATAATTAAAAACGAAAAGCGATATACAATGATGTTGGGCATTGAGTGGCCAATAGTTTTCAGGGCGCGGAAGTGGAACGGTATGCTTTAATATACATTAGTTAAATGAGAGGAGAATCGATGTAATAGCTGGGCGGCCGGGTGGGATCGGGCGGCTCGGTTCGGTTCGGTTCGTGCTCCGGGCGGCCCGAGGGCGGCGGCCGCGGCAGTCGCGCGCGAGCACGTGCGCGCAACGTCCCCGCGCCGCCGCGGCCCAACCGCACGCGCCCTGTGACCTCCTACTCGCTCAATATTCGCCGACATTTTCACTCACCCAAAAACCCACTCAAAATATAAATACCATTTTAAAACAGTACAACGAAACCCAAGAACCGGAGCTCACCGAAATTTTCCTTTGTTGTACTTCAAAAACTCGGTCAATACTGATGTCTCTAACAAAAAAATGCTTACATCATTATAATTTCGGCGGGAAATATTAATGCGATTATTGTAAATGAATTCCTTCTGTAACTAAAGGTATGGATTAAATACTGCTTAATTTGTATCGATCGAAAATTACTGTTTTATTTTTGGCGTTGACTAGTAACGGTGTGAAATGTTAGTTTGGCTTTGGAAAAGAAAATAAATACGTAGGTACTACAATTTTGACAAACCACAGTGAATTTTGTATAGTATTATTTAATTAATACTCAAATATTATAATGAAGATGCTTTACTAGAATAAATTGGAAGGATGTATTTTACTTGATATAGTTAATAGTCTGCTTTGTTTTAACCACATCCCCGACCACAGCATTCAATTGCATCGGGATAGTAATTTTTGGTTCATGTTATAACAAGATGAAAATTGCAAATTTTTCTTGTACCTATTTAACTTTAATGCTATCGAATTACAACGGTAACTTGTAACAAAAAGTGTGAAAGTTTTTGTCAAAAACCTTTGCTATCAAATCATTTAATAAAAGCTGTTGGACGATAAAGGATAAGCGTCTTATCAATAGTTTCAACGACATATTCAAAAGATTTTTCTATGGAAATTCGTTATAATTCGTAAATTTAAAACAACACCAAACACACACACAACAAGTGTTAACTACAGATGGTAAAAATTGTTGATTATAATTATGTAGTGTAGTAGTATAGTATAGTAGTATAGTATAGTATAGTAGTATAGTATAGTAGTATATAATTAATATTCCTTTGTTTTGTGGTGGTATTTAATTCTTTTTTTGCATTCGATTACTCTTAGACAATCGTTGGTTATCATTTTTATCGTTAATACAAAATAATAAATTAATAAATTTTCTACATATTTTAAAATTAACTTTCCTTTTCAATAGGTACATAATTTTTAAATGAAAATAAAAATAGTAAAATTAATAAAATTAATAATGGAAATCATGTTAAGTAAACATATACACCACTTATCATAATAATGTTTAATCAATAGATGACGATAACAATTTTTAATAAATTTATAATAAGTATATTCCTAATTTTAAAACATTTTCTTACCAATAAATCAACCAATTTTATGTATTGCTTTGCATAAAATATTCTTTTCTAAAGGTTTATTTCTCTTTAGTTTTTGTAGCACTAAGGGGTTTAAACTATAATTTTAAATTTAAGCAATTCAACTGTCTGCTTTATGGAGGCAGTTAGCCGTAAATTAATAAATCTATTTTGTATATTATTGCAATTTAGAACACTATGAGTGAACGATGAATAATGGTTTGAGGCACTAAAAAAATATTATAGAAGGTATGAAATCATGTACCTGCACCAGTTTTAAGCACTTTTTGACAAATTACTTGAAAATTAAGCAAACAATTCATTCAATAAATGTTCGTTATTTTGCATTTTCTTAATTATGGCAATGAGTGAAGTACGTGAAACAAATAACTTGTCGTTTATAAAGCGGCTTTTCATGGTCATGTTACTGAAGCGTCATCAGGTGTAACGATTGTGAACATTGAAATTAGTGATGTTGTTAATGTTTACGTACATCTGTACATGCGTTCGTCATGTCTACTAGACGGTATGGTAATGAACGGATATCGGAACAATGTTTCAGCGTGTAATTTATTCATTACACAGGCGTCCTCGATCAGGCAGCCACTAGCGGAAAGTCTCCGCTTGGCGTTTTCTGCCGTCTTGATGTATATGTTTGTCAAGCTTGACTTTACACGCACGGACAGTTAATTTTTCACTCTTACTTTTTAAGGGTTTTACTTTGATAACATTGTAATTTTTACATCGTAACCGCTAATGCAACATTTTTAAGAATTTTATTGTTAGTAAAAAAAAAATTGTTGTGATTTTTTGGAAAAATTTAACAGAAGTTATAATATTGAGTACGATATTTGTTAAATTATTAAATATATGTATAAGGTCATATTGAAGAGACGTGTTATGTGTGATTTGCAGTTTTTAAGAATGATGAGGAAAAAGCAATAGATCAGTCTGGGCACAGAAAGCGACATGAAGAACAAATAATTCATTCAAAATTACATGATAAATTGAAAATGGACAAGCGTTTCTAAACATGGAAAAAACAATGCAAGCTCCAACGTTGAAAAAAAATACAGCCTTTTCATGTCTATTTCGACCATGGAGATTTAAGGATTTATCGGAAGAGAGATTGTACCTGGCATATACCAAGCGTCAGCGGCAGCGTGCAGTACTTCGTCTCCTTGCAACCGGAGTGCTGTTCCAAATATTCGTTGCTATTGTACCTGGCGAGAGTAACCTGTACTTTTCATATGCCTCAGTGTGTGTTGGCCTGTTGATCAATTCAACGCTGGTGGCGTTATATGCTTTTTTCCATCGAGCGCGATACGCTTTAAATCATGTGGCTTGGTTTGCCATCTGGGCTCAGCTTTTAGTGAGCGCTTCGCGTCGCATTGGGGACTCTTATAATGAGCTACTTGGATGGGCAGTGGTAATCCAATACTTCACGATAGCCACATTTCCGTTTCGTTCCCCTGTTCTTTTAATGTACAGTGCTCTCTCAATAACGGCGTATGTTTTAGTTCAATTTTGCCTAGCTGTTACAATGGATAAAAGGCTAGCTGATGATTTTGTATATCAGGTGCGTCATATCTCTTCAGAAATTTGTTTGTATCGATAGTTTAAATGTCTGGCATTTGTGTTTATATCGATAGTTTACATTTAACAGCAATTGGCGAATGCTACTTTATTATTCGGAGTAACTCTCATGGGTGGAATGGCGTACGTTATTGGGTCAGGACAACAGAGGCGCTCTTTTCAAGACACTAAACGTAGTTTACGTGATAAACTTACTATTGAACAACAGAGTAAAGAGCAGGTACGATACTATTGACTTTTATTCCACACTATATAAAAAAAAATGTTAGGACAAACGTTATTATGTTTTAGGAACGACTGTTATTATCGGTGCTGCCAGAACACGTCGCTGTCCAAATGCGACAAGATTTGGGACTGATTGACACACAATTTAAAAAAATATATATGTCCCGACATGAGAACGTTAGGTCAGTGGAATCAAAGGTAGAAAGCAATCACATGGCTCATCACATTAGCACTAGAGCATAAAATTTTATATTTATCTGACGACAGCATCCTGTACGCCGACATCGTAGGCTTCACAGCAATTTCCTCCACCTATTCGGCCCAAGACCTAGTTGCAATTTTAAACGAGTTGTTTGCACGTTTCGATCGTCTCGCTGAGGTATGTATACGAAATTACCTTTGCAGCGATTTCCATTTATGATTGATAATTTACCTTCGATGTTTTTTTTAAAGAAATACAACCAGCTACGAATCAAAATCCTGGGTGATTGTTATTATTGCATTAGTGGTGCACCAGTGGAGCGGTCGGACCACGCAGTTCTTTGTGTTCACATGGGATTATCGATGGTCAAAGCGATCAAGTATGTAAAATATTTTTTTAATGAAAATGTTGTCAGCACTGTTTTAAATGTTGCATTGTGCACAAAAAGTGTTAAATTTTAAATAATTATTTTAATTAAAATAAAATAAAGTTATTAGAATTAAATCGCTTAATCTGAATGACAATGGATATTACAAAAATTCTGTTTATATTTATGTTCACTTTAATAGTACATACAAAACGCTTGCTTTCGTAATTTCTGATGCTAATAATAAAATATGCTATATCTGGCATATGTTTTATTTAGAAATAACCCTAAGTTTACGGTTCACAATGTGCAGTCAGAGCAAGCCGTACATGCATGTCACTATTCGAATTAAAATAAATTCTACCACTTTCTATACGAAATATATTTCAAATAAAGAGAAACGGGCATTATAATTGTCATTTTAGTTAAGTAGTTATTACTCATATTGTAAATAATGTTTAAAATTTATGGTTTATAAATTGGGGAATTGAAGTTGTTTGTAGTAGGTATCAATGAACTTTGTTACTAAAATGATTCACTGTTTATCGCCAAAAAAGTAGACTTCAGCTTTAAATTGGTACAATGTGTTAAATTGTAGTGCTCATGAATTTTCATAGTCAGTATGTGGATAGAACCTACCAGAACTATATACAAATTTTGGGCGGTAATACTACCATATAACAATACTTTTTCAAGTTCCTGTTGATTCAATGAAGCACAGTCTTGAAAAACTTCAGTCTTGCAACTTTGCAACAAAATTGCCGATATCGTAAAACTTATAAAGTCATACAGAGAAACAGAATGATTTATAGACATGATCACGATATTATTTAACTTTTGAACGAACCTAAAATTTTGAAGAAAATTCAAAAGCAATTATAACGCAGATACGTACAACAAACAACTAACTCACCTGTCGACATGCGGGTGGGCATCCATACGGGGGCAGTTCTCGCTGGTGTCTTGGGTCAGAGGCAATGGCAGTTCGACGTGTACTCACGCGACGTTGAGCTTGCAAATAAGATGGAGAGCAGCGGGATGGCAGGGTAAGATTCTTTTAATAATGCTAGAAATGATAATTTATACAGCATCGTAAATAAACATGACACATTCTGATCTTTCTTAACTAAAGTCCTTATATGATAGGAACTAAATAATTAAGGATACACGTTTCGTATGCGTAACTTATTTGTTGCAATATCAATATTAAAAAGTCACTAATCGTCTCTAATGTGTATTAATGCCCATCTGGCAACATTAAGTTCCATTCTCTTGCTTTAGTATAGGTACTTACATAATTATGACAACCTAAAGAGAAGTCATTTTTACAATATAACTGTGGTAGGGCCAGGCAACAATCTTCGCTGTTGCACGAATGGGCAGGTCCAGGGAAGTACCACGACCTCATAGCGTGAAGTGAACCGGCGTGAAGTGGAAGTGTAATACTTCTGCGTTTCGACTGGTGGTTATTAAAAGGTGGCAACAAATGTGTAACCCTACGGTTTCCATGGGCGGCGGTTATCACTTAACATCAGGTGAAACATCAGCTCGCTTGCCATCATCTTAAATAAAAAAATATATAAAACAGTTATAATATATAAAACAGGTACAGCTCAGAGCTTATAGTTATACGCTAAGTGTTGTTGTCCATCCTCCTACAAGTAGATAATTAGCTTAAACTTATTTCGAAAATGCCACTTTTATAATCAAGAGCCATAAGTTTAAACAGAAATGTGGTTTATATTGAAGAATGCAGTTTATGATTGTAACATGTAAAATAGCCTTCGAATTAAATTGCTTTGAATAATTATAATTCATAGCTTAAAGGCATTTTAACAAAAATGAAAATATTTACCCCGGCATTAATTGAAAATTTATGGAAACTTATGAAAGATTGACAGTTGGGATTAGCCACATGGACATAAAACGATAACTTTCTCGATGCTGCAATCCACGATGACATCAGAGGCTATGCAACTTCTTAAATTCGCAATGAAATTTCATTTTAAATACTTGCATGGTTTGAATACTGATGCATTTTGGCAAAGATAATTAAGTATATTATTAATGATGTTTTTCTTTACTATATGATAATATTTAAAAAGACAAATAATAAGAACAAGCTTGGATATAAAAGTATTTTTGACATAGGTACACTACTTTAAGTAGTTGAGTTCTTTGCATTACAGTGTAATAGTTAATAGTCTAAAATTCTGCAAGCCGATCGAAAATAAATTATATTGCGTTGATTATATATATCTACAAGTACACGGTCTTGACTTTTTTTTGTCGTATTTTTTTTAAACGGTGGTTCTTGATTTTTTTAAAGTTATTCCTTTAATTATTTATACCATAAACAAACACACAATGACCTAACATAGTGAATATTAATATGAATAAAAAAATAGTAACGTATATGGAATAATAACCTTTATCATTCATGCTCATTTAAATGATGGAATAAGTTATGACCTCAACCGTATTACAGCCCAAATATATTATTCTCTATGAGCTAACCCATATTGGTATGTTTATAAGAACTTGCGAGTATTTATGAGAACGTGAAAGCACGCCGTTTAATTATTACCGCAACTACTTATTTCAGTGTGTTTTATTTATTTTGATTATTAGGTAAGACTTTGTAAGACCTATTAAAGCAACCGTATGTTTTACACCATAAACTGTTGTCAGAAAAAAAATTATGATTTTATTTTTCCTTCAAATGTGTTGTGTTAAAACTCACAAATGTTAGTTTTAATCCGAGTGGGATTGAAAAAACTGCGTGGTATGCATAAGGGGCCATTATATGTGTATATGTTATTTTGTTTTTTTGGGAAAGCTAAAACATAAATGTATATAATAAGAAACATTGTAAAGTTTACATCGACCTTAAATAACCTGAAATAATCGACTTTAAATAACCTGAATCTCTAAACACACAGTTCTGAATTGTTTATACCAACGTAACGAATTGGTTAAATGTGTTTATCACATGCTTAGTTTGGACACTTAACTGTATTTATATATTTTATCTCAGCGTGTGGAGTTTTTAAGTGTATGAAACCTATTTTCGGGAGAAAGCGATGTCTTTTTCACCTCTTTGACTATCGATCCTAACTTGGTGCATCCAATCGCGGCTTGGTTATTTCATAATTATTCTATATCATTTCATACCTACAAAATTTAGAAACCAAATATATGGAAATAAGTAAAAGATTGTTTTTTACAGCAATAAGGTCAAGTTTGGCACTTGACAATTTAATAAAAGTATTCGTATAAAAATATGTAACATTTCATGATAAATTACTTTTGGCTGAAGAAAAGTGTGTCATAAACATCTTTTAATTACACTGCAACCCATTATATATACCTATTTATTCTTTGAATATGTAAAAAATCACATGAAAAAACCTTTATCCTAACCCAATTTCACTTCATTGGCGTATTCATTGAAAACCGCCAAAAAAGAAAAGAAGAAGAAGAACCCAATTTCACTAAAGTTGTAAATCATTTTTAATAATATAATAATTCGTAATAATAACTCTAAGTCAATTAGAAAAGGAAAAAATTAATAAAACCTTCTACGTTGACATTATTTCTATTAACTGCTTAAAACGACTTTGTCAGCGGAATTTGTGATGCTAATTGGAGTGCCCAGTGTTTTTATGAAAGTTCTTATCTGGCTGTGTCTACGTTGCAGTAAAAAATAATGATTGAGGTTTTACAGGCGTGTGCACGTATCAGAGGTAACTTTAAGCTTTCTCAACGATGAGTTCGAAGTCGAACCTGCATATGGAGAGCGACGCGAAGAGATGTTACGTCAGGCTGGCATCAAAACCTATTTTATAGTTCGAGTCCTTAAACCGGTAAGTAAATTCAGAGGGAAGGAAGAGAAACAATATAATTTTTAAATATCTCTTTAACACAATACCAATGTCAGTTACAGATAGGGAATATGTCACTAAACAGAAATAAATAGATAAATGCAGTTGCGTGGCAATCCATTCACTACGATAATGTTAACGAAACATAAACAAGATGAGATTTATTTATGTAAGAAGATGACAAGTGAGCTCAATAAAGCGGGTCACCAGATGTTAAGTGATCACCGCAGTCCGTGGACATTTACAACCCCCGAAGGGCTACAAATACGTTGCCATCTTTCAAATAAGTGTGCCTCGGCTAACTCACCCACCAGACACTTCCGCTTCACGCGAACCTTACCAAAATTTTTCATAGATTTTAAACCGAGAGAAAAGATGAAAATTTCTTATCTTTATATCTATAATTCTTCTGTACGTGTGTATGTCACTGAACTCCTAAACGGCTAGATCGATTTTAATGAAATTTTTGTGTGTCATCAGGTCGATTCGATAATGGTTTAGATTCACAAACTTATTCAAAAAGTTTCAAACATTCAGATTAAAGACGTGTGTACAGGACAACTTTTGTCGGGTCTGCCAGTGTCTGACCCAGATGTACTTTTTTTGAATAAATGACAGAAATGTAATCAGTTAAGCGCTGTGATAATAATTGAACGAAGGAATAAAAAATAAAAAAACAATTTCAGTACCAGGGAGGCAGCAGCACAGGTGGTGGTAATGTGACTGAAGAAAAAAATGTATCAGAAGGCGAACCTCTTGACGCTGATGGTGGTGATGCTGCCGAAACGCTCTCAGAACTCCGAGATGAAGACGAGGACTCTGTAAGTTGACTTCAGTATTTCCACGTCCTAATCTGTTGCCTCAATGTATATTGGGCACTAGGGTACTTTTGTTCATTACCAGCATCGTTAGTTCAAGTACCATCTGCTGTAAACGAATTCATTAATATCAAATTGCCTATTAGTTACATTCGGACACTTGTCTGAGCCACATTGCGCCCATAAAATTTGTTGCTCGCCAGTTACATAGAAACGCTTCGTACGTTATTCGAAGGTACTATCGCCGCAAGATGAGAGCAAAGAAAATGAAGATGCAAAAATTCTTGCCATGCTAGAGGAAGAACTCGTCAACAGAGATGATGATATGTGAGTACGTTTGCATTTTGGTAACAGTCTTTTTATAAATTGTAACTACATTATTGACAGACACAAACAATTATCAGTACTCGCTGAGTTTTCTTTACCGTGGCTTCAATCACCTGCTGCTGCTATTCGTAAATGAATTTTAAGTTTTCTTTGTATAGAAAGCCATATTCAAATTTGTTTCAAGTTCAGTTCCATCAGTTAAACCAAATATGACTGTTTGTAGATTAGAGGTACCTATATCACGGAATACGTACATTATTATCGTAGATTATTGACAGACCCAATTGTACTGCCCGAATTTAGAATTGATAAGGATCAGTGAAGAAGTGAGTAGCGGAGTGTGTATTGTGCAGGGAGCTGGCGGGCGCTACGAATTTGTGCCTGACCTTCAAGTCCAACGAGGTGGAGGCGGCATTCGCTAAGCGAACTGACGGGTGCCCCTTATCAGCTGTAGCACCACCGTTCATGTTGCTGCCAGCGGTGGCAATCATTGCCACCTTTGCGGCGCCAGTTACTTGGCCACTGCACGCGGTCTACCTCGCCTTAGAGCTCGAAACCTGCCTCATTAACGTATTGTTCTACGCCTGCTTTAAATACGCTCAACATAAGGTGTGGCAATTTTTCTCATTTTACATTTTAATTATTTACATTTTACATTTAATTTCAATGAACTTAAACCTAAATGAAGATACTTGCAGTTAAATTAAATATTAAATTTTAATTTGAACTTATTTTATTTCTCCGTTTTTGTAATTTAATTATTTACTTGATAATTTCGCAAATATTACACATTATATACCGACGTTGGTCCCGTGACCACGAACTATAAATTGTTCGAAACGTCGGGAGTTAGTGGAGCACCTGGAGCGTTAAATACATAGAAACCCCGGATTTTGTTCGCATAAACGAAATTAAAATATTAGGCTATAGAATAACTTATATAATTTATATAGATAAGTAATGAGGAAAATGAAGCAAATTAAAGAAAATTGAATAAAAATAAAGTTATGGATAAAATATTCATTTTTATAAACATTTCATTATTTTAGCCATATCAAATATTTTCTTCGACTTCATTTAATAGTAAATAGGCGGAATATTAATGCAATTGTTTTGTTACACTGTAAACATGCTACACTACTACAATTAGGTATATTAACAAAGAGTATACGTTTTGAATTAATAATTATATAAATTTAGGAAATAAGAGTTTTCATGTGTAATTGTGACGTTTTCCTACGGAAAATGGCAATATCTGATGGGTCATAAGTTCATATATACACGTTTATGTAACGTTGTTCAACGGAACATTCCAAAAAATAATAGGTCACATGTTCATATATATAACGTTGTTCTACTAAAACCTCAGAAAATATGTATGACATAAACGCATGTAGAACTTTTTTCACCGAAAAACAATAAAAAGTGGGTGACTGTGGAATAATTATCAATAGACTCTAATAGAGTATTTTACACTCGTCTATTACATTAGTAAGCTTAGTCTAGTCAGTACAAAAAAACAGTGTCTAAACGTACATATGTCCTTGTACTGCGGAGCACAAATCAGATAGAACGTTGTTCTATTCTGAATCTCAATATCTATAAGTCAGACGAAAAAAAAATAATATCTTCTGAAAGCGTAGACAATAACTAAGACTTTCCGACGATAAAATCAAATTCGTCCTATGTGACCACAGAACTTTATTCTACGCACGGTGCGATTTGCAATAGATTATCCGAATCTAGTGACTGACTCATTGTTATCGTGATGAACATGTTATTAGAATACTTCCATTCCCAATTTTCAATATTTTTTTATTTATTTTATGTGAAAAGTTGCCAAACGACGGTTCACCTGATGGTAAGTGAATACCGCCGCCCATGGACATCTGCTACACCCGAGGGTTACAGGTGCGTTGACAACCTTTTGAAAATTGGGCTCCGGCTACCTCACTCACCAGACGAAACGCGAAATTATTTGTCACACTTCCACTTTACGCTGGTCTTCTGTGAGATCGTGGTACTTACCCGGACGGGCCTGCCCATTCGTGCAACAGCCGAAGCTGCTGCGTGGCCCTACCACCGTTAAATTGACATAATTTCGTAAACATAACTGAATTTGCTGGTATACAGTCTTTTTAGGTGTTCAAAAACTGCATCACGTGTTCAACGAAAAGTTGAATTTGTAGCTGTTGTTTTTATAAAAGAATTGAAAATGAAATGAAAAATGAAGAAGCATTGAATATGTAAAAAAACCGCCCAAGTACGATTTGGACACAAGCCCGTAGGGTTCCTTACAATTATCTATAGATAAACGGCAAATAAATCAGGTCTGTTTTATGGGAGCCCTGCTTATTTTTTTATTACGTTTGTTATTATGTTATAGCTACAGAAATACATCATCTGCGAAAATTTCAACTGTCAGGGTTCATGAGATACAGCCTGGCGACAGACGCACAGATAGACAGCGCAGTCTTATTAATACGGTACCGTTTTACCCTTTGGGTACGGAATCGTAAAAAGGATATGTTTTTTACAATTCGGTAGAAATTTTTCTAAACCTTTGGACCTTGCTTCGAGATGGTTTTAGAAAATATTTTATTTACGATTGCCAACCACTAATGCCGTTTATATTACCAAAATGTCAATATCTTCTGTAACTACTGAACTAACGACATTTTTATTTAAGACTAGGACATTTTCTAAAAATGAAACCTAGCTAGATCGATTTTTCGCCCCCGAATCTATGCACAGACTAAATTTCATGAAAATCGCTGGAGCCGTTTCCGAGATTCCGATTATACATACATATATATATATATATATATATATATGTATATATACAAGAATTGCTCGTTTAAAGGATAAGATATGGCACAGCTGACAACAGTAGTTAATTTATTGTGAACATTTCTATCAACTTCTTATTTTTGTTATTTGACAAGAATTTGCAAGCAATTTTGAGCTATTTTAAAAATTATACTTTCTCTTCTCCCCCTCCCCACATTTTATTACCTGTTCTAGTACATTTTTAAGGTTTGTTACATGTTTAAGGTTTTAGGCAAATCATAAAAAATCATAGGCACAAAACAATTGGTAGATTTTGCAACCTTTTTGCAAATTTTTTCGAGTAAATTAAGATAATTAGTTTTATAGAAATAAAAAGTAAGCTATGTTATTGTAATTACGTAGTGTATATACGTATACAATTTTTAAGCCTATTTTACAGTTTTGAGTATCCACTGCAATGTTTAATATGTAACTATTGTTATTTTAATGGCCTTTACATTACATCTTTTTTTAAATATTTTTCTTGCAGAAACAAAGATTAAGCCCCTTCTGGATACAAACGTGTAGCATTTTCAATGTATCGATGTTCGTCGCAGCAAACGTTGCTACCATGGTATGTGTTCTTTTATACATGTTTCAACCGTCTTATATTTGATTTAAAAGCAACCCACATGGAAACAATATACAACTTACATGAAATCAGGTTTTATGAATAATATAATTCAAAAAACTTTACAATGTGCAGATAAAACTGTTTGAACATTTTTCGGCGCTGTCAGGATTCAAACCGGCAACTTCCGGATAACACGTCCTGGCAGTGAGCGGCGTAAAATTTTGCGACAGTCATTTTATGTACAGATTTTTAAAGCCTTATTAGTGCAGCTAGCACTGAAAAGTAAATATTAAATGTTATTCATGTTAAAAGTGTAATGCCTAGAATACGTCATGGATTGGTTGGCAAAGGGTAACAAAAGTTTATTCGTGGACCACTTGTTGTGATTATTTGAGAGTCAGGGAAAAGACAAATGTCGTGAAATAACTTGAAGTCGTGTAATCAACGGCGAGGGCCGCTTCAGGAGAATTAGGGCTAGTACCTACTTTGGTCTTTAAATCGCTAACTGATGCATATTTATAATTATTCCGTGTATAATGAGTTAAGAATCCATTCGTATCAATTTAAAATATCTAGATTTATGCCGATGATAATGTGGCCGTATTGTTTTAAAGGTGATCTGCGGGGATTTCGACACAGTGTTGGCCGAAGACAGCTTGAGAGAGGACGCACCCGCGCGTAGTGGAGCGCGTCGATGCATGCACCCATCCTACTATTTTCATGTAATTTATGAATTTGAATCTTTTAACGATTTCATACATCTTTCCAATGAAGAACATCTAATTAACATCCATTTGGTATACAGACTTGGCACTTCTAGTTTGACCTCTAGTTTGCGTTTTTTCTCTACATTTTACTATTTAAATATGCGTAGAAAATAAATAAATATACCGATGATAAACCGGGAGTAGAATAGAGACAATAAAACACGGATTTATTTGTTGTGGTCATGGCGACTCAAATGGGCTTTGACTTTATAGGCGCTTAGGGTGGTCTTAAGGATGATATCAATTTAATAATAAAACCAACGATGCCTTTTGAGAATTTACGTTAATGGCTACCGAGTGTAGTTACAGTGTGTAGGAAAGTCTATGTTTACTTTTAAATGGAAACAAAATCAAACTGAATTTGAAGTCTTCCTTATTTTTTTTTTGTTACCTGTATTGATAGATTTTATTCACAAAGATTCTGATACTACTTATGTACCAAAAAATAATGCAAATATGTAAGGATGTCAATTTTCATAATTTTTATTATTTGTATTTAAGCATATTTTTCTTATTTAAATCAAACAATTTTATGTTTTTTTTTTATTTTAAATTCCCGACTTTTGGAACACTACATCGTTGTTTCGGTTTTCGTATTGCATGGTTACGGGACTATGTTTAATTTAAAAATGTATATAGTATTCGCATAAAAACAAAAAAATAATAAGACTAGAAAGATAAGAAATACAGCAAGATAAGAAAATCTTAATATTTACTTAAAACAAACAAAACGTAAAAGTTTTTAAAGATGGAGGAGAATAAACATAAATAAATTTTAAACATAACATATATTTTTGGCATACAATTTTCGGATGGATTTGACACGAAAGGTAGTAGTAGTTTTCTATGTGGTATATCGCCTTTGAGGGCGATTAAATGTCAATTGCAAAGGTCTTTTCACAGTAAATCTTCACGAGGTTTTTGGGTATTTAAGAGTATTTGATACGTTCACCGAAGTGTCGGCCTCCGTATGTAAAGGCTTTTGTACTCTTTATTGGCACGGTACACTGATGGTATTTTGCATGGTGTTTTCACATCTAGCTTTTCGGCGTTTGTCGGTTGGACTGTTGAGTTTTGGGCGGTTAGTTTCACATTTAGCTTTTATGTGTTTATAATTTGGACTTTGCTGCTTCGTTGAGTTTTGGCGGTTCTTTGCACAGTGGTATGTGTCGTCAGGTGGCCGCGGGCGCGGCTTGCTGCGTTCTGTGGCCTGATGCGATGGGCGGTGCGGCGAGGGCGGCGTACCTCTTCGCGCTGGCGGTCGCCCATACAGTGCCCGCTGTTTACGCCCCGGCCCTGTTAGCCCTACGAGACCACTCACGCGACCCTTACGGCCCCCTGGTACCGAACGTGAACGGAACAATCTACAACAACCAACTCATCACCGCGCTGTAAGTATCTCAAATCCGTGTTGGCGAGTTTTAACAGTTTAATTCGCGAGATATTTTCGAGCGTGAATTGAACAACTGTTATTTTTCTTATTGTCGTATGTTTTATCGCATAATAGATGAACGTTGTCCAACGGTATTTGAATCCCGTTTTCAACCGTGTAATTTACCGTTATTGAAGGTATTCTGTTTTTTCACTATCCCGCCATAAAACAATGTTTTTCTATTGAATTTTCAATTGTATAATTCAGATTCTATTAATTTGGTACATTATTTTATTTTTAAAATTGTACATTGCAAATCGTGTAAAATTACTAATGTTATGTGTAAGCACACTTAACATGAAATTTTTGACAATATTTACGTTTCAAATAAAAAAAACAACGTGCCTCGTGATGCTGTTATTGCAAAATAAAATACCTGACAAGTATTGTGCAATTCTAAAATTAATCTTTTAGTAGACCAACATTTTCAGTCCATGCGTAAAATTAATTTACATTTTATCTTGTTTATTTTATTAGTAACCAAAACTTTAAATAGAAAAAAATTATTATCTTATAATGTATTTTCTAGTTACTATTAAAGTAATTATGCAATGATAGTATGTTATAATAAATTTGCAAAAATGATGATCATTCATGTGTTAAAGATCGATAAATTTTTGTAATATTTTTTGTAACCTAACAGGTTCACTACTAGGACATTAAGCAATTTATTTGTTACGACGTTTATGTAATCATTGCAGTCTCGCAGGTTTGGAGTTATGACAGAAAAATTTCGCAATTTGCATTTCTATTCTCATGTCACTCGTGACAAATTTTTAATTTCTTAGATATATTTCTTTATTTTATTTTTAATCGGTTGTCAATAATTATTAAAAATTATGAAAATTGTAGTATTTTGAGAACTCGAATATATTGCATATTTGATTCTAACTTATCGAGGGCGTTCTTTTTATGTAACCGTTAAGTGTTATGTACGCTTGCTGACATTTACTTTAATTCCAGAACACATATCCATGCCGGAAGGAACATCGTGATGTTATTCATCATAGTCATCGCACTTCTGGTGTATAATCGATACGTGAGTTATTGTCGTTTCTATAATAAAAGTAGAAAAATTAATTTATTATAATATAAACACATTACAAACGGGTCCAGTATCTGGTTTTATTAACTTAGATTTATATTTTATAGGCATCTTAAACAGTTCTGTATGATTATTGGCCGTGGCAATTAACAAAGAACAAAAAATATGTAATAATCTAATCTTTACCTAATTCGACATATTGTTTGGTTCATCTAACTAATTTATTACCCACGTAAGAGTTTCATTAATACGATATCGTACACCGATTCATTTAACATATCGGGACCAGTATACCAAGGTAGGGAGAATCTGAAAACAAGATCAAACAACGCATTGGCATGGCGAAAGATATAGAGAGACTGGCGTATGCGGAAGAATAAAAAAGTACATTTTTTATGTTAAAAGTTGCCAAACGAGTAGACGATTCACCTGATGGTAAGTGAATACCGCCGTCCATGGACATCTGCTACACCCGAGGGTTACAGATGCGTTGATAACCTTTTTGGTTGGTTAAATTGGGCTCCGGCTACCTTACTTACCAGCTGAAACGCGACAGTATTTGTCATACTTCCACTATACGCTGGTCTTCTGTGAGGTCGTGGTACTTACCCGGACGAGCCTGCCCATTCGTGCAACAGCCGAGGCTGCTGCGTGGTCCTAACACCGTGAATACTACATATTGTGAATTGTGGAACAAAAATACTACGGACGTACGACAAGATGTTGAAATACTATGGACACCACGAATAGTGAATATCTCAATCCTAAACAGCGTGACGTACAAAGGAGCCCAACTCTATGTTCGGAGGCCGAAAATCACATTTCTTTAGCGAATACTCCAATAATTAGAACACGTAGCTACCTAGAGAAGAAACAGCTCGCGGGAGAAGTACACGAGAAAAGGCTCTATTGGCTGTTGGCCAAAGCGATAGTCCGATCAGGCGTCCGAACAAGTCTACACCAAAGTGTCAGATGAAATTCCCTGCTCTTCCAGATCGTCACAAATGTCTGCGAATAATTGAAGAAAAGTTGAAAATATATTATTAAGATAAGTGTTTTGTATGCTGCCACTCCATTTGTTGTTTATAATAGGGAACTGAGTTATTTCCTTAATAATGTTAATAAGATACTTGGCTAGATGTAGGATGTTATTTGATTGATTTGATAGGTAATGCTTAATGCCTTGCCTTTTTTTTGTTTCGGTATACAATAGTTTATATAATTAAAAATAAAAACTAAAATATGATTTTTCACATATCCTATACTGTAGGGATACTATATACGAGTAACTATAACCAACTGAACAATATATGTATAATACAATATGACAATGTAACAATTCACGCGGACTAAGAGAGTCGACAGGTCGCGTGTGTGATAACAGTGAAAGAGTGTTTGGATACGGTGTTAGCCTCACGAGAGAATCGCAATGAACCTAGATTTGAAAATGAAGTGTTTGTATAATTACGCCTATGCAATATGGACCGGTGAAATTCATATGTGGTGTCCCAAGTCATGTGCCACTTGCAAAATATCCACAACCACCTCTACTTGAGTGTTACACGGAATGTTAAACATTTGATTGCTACCAATGTACTTATAAATGGGAGGAGTTAGCCATTGTGGGCACGACTGTATTTCTTAGAATAACTCTTGATGCAGAACTTCAATATATCCAAACTAGCTAATAGACTAAGTTATGCAGCGCATGCTATAAGGAAAATGAAATGTATAACTGATGTAAAAACAGCTAGAATTATTTATTTTATTTAATATTTCTAAAGCATAATGTCATATGGTATTTTGCTATGGAGGCACATAGCCGACATAGAAACAATTTTATTTTGAAAAAAGGGCAATAAGAGCAATTTATAATCTAGATTTGAATGCATATCTGAGAGAGATGTTTAAATAAATAATAATATTAACCTTGGCCTCTCAAATAAAAATGAAAATATAATGTATGTACGTAGAAATATTAATAATTTTTTGATATATGTACATAATTTTTCGCTTTACAATTCGCTTATACAACAAAATACCAATAAATGCACAAAGCCTGACTATTAACAGGTTTAACAAATTTATTAAAGAAAAAACTTTATAAAAATGGTTATTATAATATAAATGAATACATTAATGACTATAAGCCCTGGGAATGAATTGATCACTCTCAAGGTATTATAATAATCCGGGCGACAACTGATTAAAAATCTGATCAAAAATTGACTTGTCAGCAAATCCTGCAAATTAAAAAAAATTTAAACGTGAGCCTGAAGATTCGGAAGCTTTGCACTTTATTGATATTGAATGATTTAACGAAAAGCTATGAATGATTGTGTATTGTGTAGCGTCGCAAAATGGTATAAAGATTTAATTGAGGACAGTCTATAATATGGTGGAAAGTGGCAAAAATGTACCGCTTTGAATCTTCTCGTAAGACGTACTTTTAAAGATTTGCCCAATTAAAGAGCACCAACAAGAACATGGTTGATTCTGATCTTGGAAAATCAGGATATCAAAATAAAATTTTACTTAAAAATCAAACGACAATGACTACAGATTAGTGTGTAAACAATTCCTTGCAGTGTTAGAAAAAGTTCACGAAAAGAGTTCTAGCAGCATACCCAGAAGCAGCGAGAAATGCGTTTTGCATAGCAATAGCCATTGAAGATATCAATACTGGATCCACTGCTTCACACAACGGTCAATGAACAAATAGATTAGTAATAGTTCGATGAATAATTAGTAATGCTAAAATCCTTCGAAAAAGAATCACATAAATGTTTCAATATGACCTAAGTATAACAAGTTGCGTTGTCAATATGGAGATTTGCTTTCTAAAGTGTTTGATGTTTTTGGAAATTACGCACAATAATTTTATCGTCTTACGAAGAAAAGGATGACGAGCACTCACAACTGTATGTCAAACACAATGAGAAGTTAGCCATTCCACAGTTTATAATTTCGTTAGTTTCCATTCCGAAAACTTTTCAACATCACTGGCTAAGATAGGGACTGCAATGATTATGTACTAGAGACCCGCCCCGGCTTCGCACGGGTGCAATGTATTATACATATAAACCTTCCTCTTGAATCACTTTATCTAGTAAAAAAAACGCATCAAGATCCGTTGCGTAGTTTTAAAGATCTAAGCATACAGAGGGACAGACAGCGGGACGACTTTTTTTATACAATGTAGTGATGTAAAAGTTTTGCCAATTTTAATGTCGAATTACTTTCGGCGCAGGATTCGAACCTGCGTCATCAGGGTAACGAAAGGGCGCTAATTAAAATTTCATATTAATTGCAGACTATTAGCTCTAAAAAAATGTGTGTGTACTTATGTACGCACGCAAGAAGTTATACTTATTTGGTGTAAAAAAACAATTATCCCTTATGCCAGTTCTCTTTGTTTGTGAGAAATACATTTAATGCAATTTGTAAATGTATAAATAGTTAAATTCAAAATGTCATTAGTTGCCATGGTAATACCGTGAAGTTGGACGACGTTGCAACCAACTTCCGCATGTCACTGTCGGTGTACACGCGTATCGTAAAATTTTACGCACACATTTTTTTTATACGTGCCAAAAGAATTATAACTTCAAAAATAAAAAAAATCATCACAATCTAGGTTAGTTGGAATGAATAAGTCAATAATAAGGTACTAAAATGACTTTGATGCGGGCTACAAAACATATAGGGTTGTCGTGTTGGCATTCAGAAGGTGGAAGATAATTGTCGGTAATAACGCAGAGCGAGTCATTGGAGCGGGCGCGGCACTCGCGCGGCGAGCGCATGCGCGTGCAGGCCGAGCAGGCGAAGGACTTGCGCCGCAGGAACCAGGCGCTCGTGCACAACGTGCTGCCGCCGCACGTCGCCAGCCACTTCATGGGCGCGCGCCATCACCACCGGGACCTCTACAGCCAGAGCTACGCCGAGGTCGGCGTGCTGTTCGCCTCCATGCCCAACTTCTCGGGTACGTTTCAAGCGCAAATTTTCGCTTTTTTTATACAGTAGGTGGCACACTAGCGGGAGTTTAACAATTGATACGGCATTACGGCCACGCAACAGTCTTTGCTGTTGCACAAATGGGCAGGTCCGTGCGCGGGTAAGTGCCGCGAGCTAAAGAAGACCGGCGTGAAGTGGAAGTACTTCTGCATTTCGTCTGGTGAGTGAGGTAGCTGGGGCCCACTTTATTATAAGGTGGCAACGCATCTGCAACCCTACGGGTGTTGCAGATGCGTTGCCACCTTACCACCAACTCGCTTGCCACAGCCCATGGACATCCGTGGTCATTTTAAAACCCCACTTCAACTAGTTGCTCAACCGTGACATTCACATACTCTTAAAATGAACAAATGATAAGCATAGTTTTCGCTAGCGTGACATACGTATAAAAAGCAATGAAAATACAATTTTTACTTTCGTTTTATATATCAGCAGTTCAACGTTAGTACCCATAATGAACTATTAAACATACTTTTCCTTTGTATATATATAAATACACGTTATACGAGTATAAAAACCCAGATATTGGAAAAAGACTATATGCATCGGACACCCTCGGGCGCAAGAGGCAGGTTCACTCTTCCCCACGCCAATCGGGTCGCCAATTATAATAATTATGTATTTATATTTAAACATGTCATTAGGTATGGGCAATCATTTTGCAACAGATTTGGCGTTAGATTTTTGTTTACGAAACGTATACCTACGGACTGGAATCAAGATTGTTGCCACAGTGAAAAAAGTAACTTTTGATTCCCCGACGAAGTGAAGTTCCCTTGAAACCTTAATCCATATTCAAGTACTTGAGAGTTCTAGGAAAGTGTCATGTAAATTAAATATCTTGTTTAGGAAAACTTGTTTCTTTATAATATACAAAAAAAAATGTAATACAGAAACGTACTTGGCAGTATTTAAATAACGCTTACATGACGCGCAGATTCAATGCCTATCTAAAAAGGTAATTATTACTCCTAAGATGATTTTTTATTAGCATCTGTGTTTGTTAATACAAATTATAGACAGTATACGAGGTACAAGGACTACTGAATACACATTACGCATTAATTAACATAAAGCACAAAGATGAAAAAAAAAACGTGTTCTTTTTAAAATGTCTTGAATTAAGCTAAGGAAATCTTGTTCATTAACTTACTAATTGCTAATGAGGACAAACTGATATTTTGTTAAAAAATATACTATTATACGGTCAATATGGTTTTCGACTTCTTAGATTTTCTCTATATTTTAGTGACTTTTCCACAATTATGAATGCTAGAAATAATTTGAGACGTCAGCAATTTAAAACTTCTTTAAACCTAAGGCCTAGTGACTGTTATTGTAAGAAATATATGTGTAGGGGTACAAATTTAAGGTGAGTTTGATTTTGAGTGTTTGATTTTTCAAAGTTCTTACGTGTAGAACTGAGTTATTAATATTTATGTCCGGTATGATGAAAGGTGAGATAGAAGATATTCTTTTATATTTGTGTCGTACTAACCGGACCCGGCCACCCCCTCCATGGGGTAAATGGATTATATATATTTAATAACTATAATATAAACAGATATATGTAGATATGTTAAATAATTAAGAAGTAAAGTTCTTAAAATTCAACAAAAACAACGTTTAATATTTTAATTCCATTATTGCCTAGCGTTGCTTGTTTTCCAAAACAGAAAACAAATTATTTTTCGGATAAAATTAATTCAAGAGACTCAATATGCACATCAATTTTAATGGAAACTATAACTAGGAAAAACGAAAAGAAACAAAAGAATTCGATTTGTGAAAACGCTTCGAAAGTTTTCTGCAAAGTTTTAGTAAAATTTCTTATCAATCGACCTCGAATTTTCGAGTTTTGCTAACACAAGCATAGATAGGTAAATTATTATTATCACTGAATTACCGATGGTTATAGGTAAGTCATAGTAGACACTTGTCTGCACCGTTAAAATAAAAAAGAAGTTATTTTATAATAAATGAAAAGTGTTCATTCTAACTAAAATAATTATTTTTCCTTTTAGAGTTCTACTCTGAAGAGACCGTAAATAATCAAGGCCTGGAATGTCTGCGATTCTTGAACGAAGTTATCTCCGATTTTGATCTGGTGAGCTCATTAATTATTTATTTTTCTGGATTTTTGTAATCTCCTCAATGCAAACATTATAGTGCATGTTGTTCGTATGTATGATTTTTTTTATGTGAAAAGTTGCCATGCGAGCAGATGGTTCACCTGATATTAAGTGAATACCGCTGCCCATGGACATCTGCTACACCCGAGGGTTCCAGATGCCTTGACAACCTTTTGAAAATTGGGCTCCGGCCACCTCATTCACCAGGCGAAAAACGCGTAAAGTATTATACTTCCACTTTACGCCGGTCTTCTGTGAGGTCGTGGTACTTACCCGGACGAGCCTGCCCATTCGTGCAACAGCCGAGGCTGCTGCGTGGCCCTACCACTGTGAAATTAATTAAAGAATAAATCATTTACATGTAGTTTTGTGCGATATTGAAACACTATGCTTTAGAATGTGACGAGGATGAAAATATAATCACAGTCCCAAACGTCGAATCATTAAAAGCTATAACATTTATGAAAGTAATTATATCTTTTGCCTGGTGATTACAAGTACTAATATAATTTAATACCGAACAATACTCGTTAACTTTGAACCTTAACAATTGCAGTTGTTAGGAGGACCCCAAATTTAGTAAGGATATAATTAAGATCAAAACAATAAGTTCGACGTACATGGCTGCATCGGGCCTAAATCCGACACGACAGATGCAGGTAAATATAACTAACTATAAATCTAATGTTCCATGTATACTAGTTTTATTTTTTAACTAACTAGATAATCAGGTCTTGAAAATATAAACAACGTAATTATTTTGTGTGTAACGTACGTAAATTGAAATGTACGTAATATCGATTTGATATTTTATTTTCATTATACTTAAATTTACCTCATATACAATAAATGCAAAAACAAACTACTCTAGAGTTGAATGCCCTATGTTCTATAGACTTTTATTCATGCTTGGTATGCTGTTCAATAACCTTCAAATGTATTAACATGATAAATAACAGTGCAAGAAAGCTTTGTTTGGATAATCAACATCAGTATTTTACCTTGTTTGAAACCTGATAAAAAGTAATGATGATAGTTTATGAAGAGAAGTGGGATATAAAAAACCTTATTTCACATACAAAAACTGCTCTACCCATGTCTCTATTTATTATTATTCTAAGACGACTTAAAAATGTACAAATAAAATTTGGAATGGTTTGCGCCTCAAGTCGGGTGTGTTTTTGTTTTATGTTACCCATGAACCCCTTTATTTATGAATTTATTCAGAAATTCTTTTCGAAACCGTTATGAATGAATGCATTGGATTCGGTTTCTCCCATGTAGTTGCATAATAATTTCATTGATAGTGGAAAATCGAAATAAAATATAATTGAGTGAGATATTTGGAGTTAATTTTGTTTGTTGTCAGTTTCGTCTTAAGTGCAAAGACTAGCGCTAAAATTTTTCCCGCCCTTTGTGACGATGGCGCTTTAGCCGTCGGACGGCGTTCTGGTGCGTTGGGCGCACCTCGCGTGCCTCGTGGAGTTCGCGATGGAATTGCAGCGCGTGCTCGCCGCGATCAACGAGCAGTCGTTCAACCACTTCGTGCTGCGGCTCGGCGTCAACCACGGGCCCATTACCGCCGGCGTCATCGGCGCCCGCAAGCCCCACTACGACATATGGGGCAACACTGTCAACGTCGCCTCGCGCATGGAGAGCACCGGCAAAGCTGGGTGCATACAAGTTAGTACAGGCTCTAAATATATGTGTCTAGCATACAGGTTAGTATAGATTACATACATGATATATGACTCTCATAAATAGATTAGTAAAGACTACACAATATACTCTACATATCTGGTTCATGCATACAGGTTACTACAGACTCTACATATACGACTCATCCATACCGGTTATTCATATGACTCAAGGATAGGACTCATATATAAGACTAACTTTTTTATGTGAAAAGTTGTCCATCCCGCAGGTGGTTTACCTGATGCAATGGATTACTGCCATTCGTGGAAATTTGAAAACCCGGCTTGCGGATTGTTGCGTTGCCACCTTTTAAAAAGTGGTTACCGGTTACCTCATTCACTAAAGGATAATACTTCCACAACACACCAGTCTTCTGTTCCGGTCATGGTACATCTCCGGATAAGCCATTTTTACAACAGTAGAAGCAGTTGCGTGGTCCTACCACAGTTTAAAAAATTATGTAGTATTTTTTGGGACGTCCCAAAATAAATATGATACAAAATTAAAAATTATATTCCTAGATTTGGAATGCTTCCTCCTGTTTTTAATTTACATTTAACAACAATTTTAATAATCTGCTTTAAGTATAATTTTATAATCGCTTTCAAACTTAACGAATTAAGTTTAAAATCAAACAAAGTTATTTTGAATTGAAATTGAAATGTGATTTGAATTTTTCTATCATAAAATTAAATAAATTATGTTAGATATGATAATTTAATGTTATTTCATGGATATACAAAATAATTCAAAATCTACAGATTATTCTGAATATTTGTAATTGTCGATTTTTGATCCCTAGTCGTTTTTATGGATTAGCGGGAAAAACCCAGAGGTTAGAACTGCGACCGAAGTTGATTTATGTTCTTCAGGTGACGGAGGAAACAAGTCAGATTCTCAAATGCTTTGGCTACTATTTCGAGCAGCGTGGTTTAGTGGCCGTCAAGGGCAAGGGTCAGCTCATGACCTATTACTTGCAAGGCAAACGCGACCATCCCAACGGGGAAACCGAAGTATCTAATGTGAGTCCACGCAAAATGTATATGTCTACAATCTTAAGGCACTTTTTTACTATAACTTTATTGTTGTATATATAGAAGTCATGTTTCATATCTTCCTATTTTAAAAGATCAATATTCTATTAGTAAGGTAAAATACCTTACTAATAGAATATTAATCTTTTAAACTTTAATAATACTTCCATATAAGAATAAATATAAGTTTATCATAGAAATAGAAGAAGACTAGGTGAAGTCTGGTGCGAATCAGACAGTCTACCAGGACAGGCCGATCTTCCATGAGTCGCCCTGTCTGGCTAGTCTGTTTGTTTTGTTACTTGCAATCTGCAATCAAGATACTGCACAACAGTAATGAAGAGGATCTGCACAAGTAATACTATCATATTCATTTGTTAATACTAGTGTTTCCAATGTTGTCTGTTGTCAATCTGTGACTTCAGGCCGACTATCATGAAGAAGATATTTTAGGCTCTCGGTCTCACTGAATTTAAATGGAATTTATTTACATTTACGTCCTTGTTATCGTTTCGAAAGAAATTTCATTAATTTTCTACATATAAAGTAGCATGGTGTAAGCACGCATTTTTGTTTTTTCCAAAAAGTAGTAATGCATTTTAGTATGGTTTATGACTCAATTGATTCTTTTTATTGAGTGTGGTCAAGATTGATAATGTTCAAATGTTACACGATCATTAATATTTGCTGCAGCTATTTATTATACAAATATAAAATGACAACTTTCTTTTCTATTGTTAAAAGTTAATATGTATATAATATAATTATAATAATTTTAAGAACGAACATATCGATCTTCATTTTTTTAACCTCTCCTTTTAAAAAGTATCTCCGTTAATCCTATTTGAAGATGCCGTTTAATCGAGGTCGCTTAATGCTAAAATTTTATACTCGTATTCTTATTTCAATTTCAACTAATCGCCTCTCAAGGTTATCACATTCACGAATTTGTTTTAAGTGTTAATGGACCAGTAAAGAAAAGTGTTTTTATTCATTTATCATCATAGTATTCGTTTTGTGTGCATAAACACATCGCCTACAATTTAATTAATACTGCCAACTGAATATTATATTTTGAAAATTTTTCATTATTTTGCCGCAGTAAAAGATTATCTTTTCGTGAGCGTAATTGATCAATACTTATCAGGTGTGAATTTATTACCATCGCAAATTTCACTTCAAATCTTCAACAAGTATAAATTTACCTTTTACTTTTACTATCGCTCGCATGGTTTTTGATATGTAATGTATAAAGTTTTCAAAATAAAAGTTATAATTTGTTTAACCAAAGTCAGTTTAGAAGGGGAAACATACTACAAATTTTCACATTACATTTATTTATTATTTTATATTATATTATATATATTATTATGACGTTTGGTTGTATACACAGCACTTACTTTAAATTATTTGTAACCTATATACCAGGGGTGGCCAAGCTCCTTCATAGTTCGAGCCATTATTCAAAGTTGAAATTTTTCATGTGACGCAATTAAATACGCATTTAAAAGGTATTAATTTTTATTGAAATCATATTTATTGAAAACGTATCAATAAAAGTAAAAAAATATGTGTTTGAATTTAAATATTAAAATTAAAGTCATTTATTTTATTTCTCTTGATAACTCTTTAAAATTTGATGAATAATTAGAGACAGCACTTCTTCACAGTAATTCTTTGAGATGCTGGTTAGTTAATACTGATCGGTTTTTTGATTTCGCGAAATAAAATGATCGTGAAATACGTAAAGCAAAAATTTTGTACCCCTTTTAGTGAAAATTGTGCGGACGGAGGATGTTTATTATATATGTCGGAGATAGGTGGATCACATGGGAAAACTCGTTGTCAGATCCCTCATCGGACATGTTGTACGCACAAAATAAAAGTTATCACGTAGTACTGTAGTTTACTTTTTCGATTAAAATCAACAATAACGAAAATAATTATTAACCACGCCGATGTAATTAAATGGAAACGCAGCAAGTTCGATACAGGAAGATGACCGTTCGCACCGCCGTCCCTTTTCTAAGTGGCGTGCCCGAGCACGTCCAAAACACACCCCCGTGTCCGATGTCAATTGACTTCCACAACTCATAACCGTCAAGTCCACTCTCTCATTTCCTGTATAGACCTTACTCAAACGCACTACTTGACGTTTCCGATAGCTACCAATAGATAGTATTGTAATCAAATTATAGCGCCACATCGTGATCCTGCGACATATATATGTTTCCCACACTTATCTTCTTTAAAGAGCGTGTCTTTACAATCGCGACAATAAATGAACACAAATGTAGAGGATAACTTTTTATAAATTGTATTGAACATTTACATTCGTTAAACATCAATATTTACCGAGTTATTAAATTTTCCAAAACAAACAATTTTAGAACAACCTTACGTATAAAACTGTAACGTAAATATCATTTGTAAAGCTCACAAAGCATAGGAATGGGTTGAATGAATTTAAAAGAGACAAAACATACTGTTAGAAGGAGCTTGTAATGCGACGCTGTGATAACGAATGAAAAAAATCTCTGAATGTATGAATCATTCAGTTGTAGCTGTATAGGATGTTTCAAATTTTGTTTCTTTTTTACTTAATTAGTTTGTTTGAAAAATATTTTTTTTTAATTATGGATTTTTTAAAGTTAATATTTTTTATGATTATTGGCACGTAGCGTTAGACTTGTGTTCATTTATTGTCGCGATTGTAACGACACGCTGTATATGTAATTCTACTGTACGTGTGTATATCACTGAACTCCTTCTAAACGGCTGGACCGTTTTTAATGAAATTTTTTGAAATGAGGAGTATGAAATTTCCCACACTTATAAATTTTATAGAGAATGTATAATTAATTATTATATATTTCACATCTTGAAATCTGTTTTACAATTCTGTCAACCTCGGGAGAGCCACAAATTATCCTTCAAAGAGCCGCAGTTTGCACCCCCCCCCCCCCTCCTCCTCCTTATATGATAGTCTTTATTCAATCTCCGTTGGTATAACTTGTCTCTCAACGCACAACGTGGCCACCTTGCCAGGATTTTTTTATTTATTTATACTTTATTGTACACCAAAAAATAAAAATATATTAAAAGCAAATTACAAATGAATATAAAACGAAGTACAATAGGCGGTCTTATCGCTCAGAAAGCGATTTCTTCCAGACAACCGTTGTGAAAAGAATATTTGCTAATGAGACATAAAGCAGAGAGCAAAGGAAGGTGTACATGAATCACTTATGAACATCGGATGAAGGCATTTATACGTCAATGAGATAGTCAAAGATTTCGGGAAAAATAGGAAAGGAAAAAGGAAAGCGTGAGTCCACAGTTCCAAGTAATGAGCTTTTAATTGGTTTTTAAAAGAAAGAAGTGACTTAGCTTGTCGAATGTGAAGGGGCAAAGAATTCCACAAACGCACAGCTGTCACTGTAAAAGATTTTTTGAAGGATTGTATAGGTTGTGCATGATACTAACGGAGATTGAATAAAGAGTGCATTAATTTAATACATTCACCTTATATATTAGATTAGTTATCATATATGCGTATATAGGTTACTTACATACTACAATGTACCTTACTTTTTTGTATATGGGTGATTTAGAATAAATATGAAAATTTGTCTTGTTATATAGGATATTAATATATCCTTGTTATATGGAATAATGTTAATTGATGAAGTGACGTCGCTTTAGATGGAGGAAGCTCTCTGCGAGGCGGAGGTCACTGACGCGTTGCTTGCAAACGGCGACGCCGCCATCTCGCATCCCCTGCAACTGCAATCGGCCGTCGACGTGAACCAACATCTGCTGACTAAAACCACAATAGAATAATAAATTCTACGAAAATTTTAGACACGCAGCCAAGCCAAGCAATTAAGGAGTGGGCGTAAAATCGACATGAAATGTCAAACAACTAGTACGTAACATGCTTTGTAACGGAAAAAATTTTATTTGCATTTTAATTTCATAATATACATAATATAATATCATTTCATAATTCAGTACCTTCTTTGTAATTTGTCCATGTCTTCATTAAACAGATAAATGATGCATCGTTGCAGAACTCATTACGGAGTGAAGGTGCACTGTAAAATAAATTTCATTTTTATAAAACATTTTTATTATCTGATAACTGACAGCTATAATTAGTTTTTCTTATCTGCGAACTGATAACAAAATTTAAGATATTGTCATTATCACGCAATTTTACTTGCTTTAATTATTTATCAAGCCACTATTTATTAGGAGCACTAAGAAATATTTGCATGTATTTCATTGAGTACATTGTAACAATAGTATTTTATTTTAGAAACATTTTATATAGTTAGTTCTGTTGACGAGAAACGTAAATAATTCTCACTTTAAATAATATGTTTTAATTTGTTGAAAGAATTTTAAAACGATTTCGTGAGAGAAATACTAAAGCTGCGTCCACGTCCTAATAAATGAGATTAGATTGCATCAGAAAATGTTAAGTAAATCGAGTGGAACAGTATTTCATAAATTTTTAAAGCTTTTGATAAATTTGGGGCACTAGAATCAGCGCTGATCATAAAAATATTTTAGTGTAGTACTTAGCCCGCTGTCATTTCATTATATGGTTATAAAAGTTGAAATGAGGTAGACGTTATAGAGTCAATGGTCAAGCTCTAAGAGGAAAATACAATAATATCTATCAGTAGAAAATAAATTCATATATTGATCCTAGATGTGGTCCTAGTGGTGATTCATGTTTGTAAATAGCAGTAAACTGTATACATTAATTTGTATGTGGTGATGTTTTTCTTTAAATAATTCTATTTAGCAGAGGTTATATTAATAGTGAATTAAACCAGTAATCACTATATATAGTCTTGGGTTATATACACGTCTAGATACTAACAGAAGTAATTTTTATGGTACTACCTCGGTATTCTTGTTTGTGTATATACGTTATTTTACGCTCGCATCGGTTGTGTGCGCGTATACCGGGCTATAACAGTTTCTTATTAAAATGTAGAAATTCTTACAAGCCTAAGTTTGTTTTCATTATGTTGAATGGCATGTATGTCTTACCTATACATACATATATTTGATAATTTATGCTCATAATGTTTGTAACATTAAGTTTATAACATATAAATAATAATAAAATGAAATTCATTTTTCACTAAAACGAAAGTTGTTAAATATTTTCCATGCAACTAGTTATAATTATAAAGCTTCGTAAATAGTTTTTTTTTTTTAAATATCGCGGTGCCGCGAAAAACTGTCGTCATACCTAGTTCCTAAAATTTTAAAATTGATTCTTAAACTGTAGTATGTTGTAGCTGATGTAATTAATTCGTTAAAAAGATACATAAACGTGTAAACGTTTTAGTATTTATTACAACCATTTGTCCACATTACTTCATTTTATTATAACAATCCAAAAATTAAAAAAACGCCTTCTAAGTTGTACAAGGATATACATAAAAAAATAATCCTCCACGAGCCCGTATAACTTATTTTGATGATGGCATGCTCTAAAACAAATATTTTGTTTGATTTTGATCCATGTTTGAACATCTTTCCACTAACGCCAACTTTTTTCCAACTTGTGTAAAGTAGTTGGAATTGGAAAGCTTTATCTAACACATGTGCCAAGCTGTGTGGAATTTAAGTTACTGGACTGGAAGCTGGTCACTCCATGCACGTAATACTGACATCTTAAATATACGCATTGAGCAAATAAGCACTATGTGACAACGCATTATCGTGCACAAAATTTTAACCTACATTATACTGTTTTTTGATTTTTTAAAAACAATAATTACTGTAATAAGATATAACTTTTTCTTTTCTTTTATTACTTTTAGTTAATATAACGGAGTAAAAATTAAGTGATTATTCTATGACACCCTAAATGTACTAATAACGATTTGCTGCGAATACATTAATTCTAATGTTTCTGAAATGATGTCACTGACATGATGGAATAAGAATCTAGACGTGTATAGAATCAAAGTATACAATGTCCTCTTCATTAAACATAATATTTTTTTATTCAATACAATATTTGATGCTAATTTTAATTTTAATTTTGATAGCATTGTATATATGATAGATTTTGGTTCACCTTTAATGACTTTATCAGTTGATTTGTTTTTATTTACTTGTCACTTGGCCGTTAATTCAAAGAGGGATGTTTGTAACATATACTCATTTAGAAACGCGTTCATTCAGTTGCGTTTAGCACAACCATTTTTCATAATTTGTTGGTAAAGTTTCGTAGATTTTCAACTTTCATTATATTTATACAGCGTGTCGCTACGTCCGCGACAATAAATGAACACACATATAGAGGATAACTTTTTAAAATTGTATTAAACATTTACATTCTTTAAACATCAATATTTACCGAGTTATTACATTTTCCAAAACAAACAATTTTAGAACAACCTTACGTATAAAACTGTAACGTAAAGTTCAATGCTTTGTGACCTTTATAAACGTAAAGCATATGAATGGGTTGAATGAATTTAAAAGAGAGAAAATATACTGTTAGAAGGAGATGATGCTTGTAATGCGACGCTGTGGCAACGAATGAAAAAGTCTCTGAATGTATGGATCAGTCAGTTGTACTTATATAGGATGTTACAAATTTTGTTTCTTTTAACTTAATTAGTTTGGTTGAAAATATTTTTTTTAGTTATGGATTTTTTTAACGTTTGCATTTTTTTATTATTATTAGCATGTAGCGTTAGACGTGTGTTCATTTATTGTCGCGGTTGTAACGACACGCTGTATAAATGTAAATTTAATATTCAAAACATAGAACAGTATAATGAATAAAATTATCTTCGTCAGTAATATGTTAAATCGCCTCATATCTAATGTGTAATTATTGAGAAAGAAAATTGATAGTTTTTGGTAATATGTTAACGATAAACGCATATATAAGTAAAGCTATCCGTTATGTAAATTTATCAATATTGTATTTGGAGCCGTGATAGCTCAGTATAAGGGCCCTCGCCTTTAATTCAATATACTCGAGCAACCTGAGTTCGATCCCCGGTGCCTGCACCAATGAAGTTTTTAACTTTAAGTGCTGACTTATCACGTGCTCCGTGGTGAAGGAAAACATCGTGAGGAAATCTACATATTTTCGAAATAATAAAAAAAAATATATATTTCGAAGATATGTGAAGTCCGCCAATCCGCAGTGGGGTCGCGTGGTGGACTATGCCCTGATACCCTCTGTATAGAGGAGGGCTTTGCCCAGCAGTGGGACATGTATAGGCTGTTACTTTACTTTACTTTACTTATCATATTTGGAAAATTACAATGTTTTGCTGAAGAATCTGTAAAAATGTTTTTACTTTATATTCTGTTGACTCTTTTCCTCATTTGGTACGGTCAAAAATATAATAACAAATACTTTTTGTTGCAAGGATTTTTTGCATTTGAATCTCCAAATCAAAGGTTTTATATAACCATTCAGTGAGATAGGTCAACTTCTAACTAGGTGTTTTAAATTTACATACATTTTAATCAGAAAGCTACAATATCAATTTCTTGTCGTTTTGTCGACCTCCTTCAATGGTTTTGAGCCTAAGGAATTGCGAGCGCAATTTCTGTATTAAGTTTTAAGTTTTTACAAGTTATGGGAATATTTTTTTTTTCGTTTAAGTTCCATAAATTGGCGCGAAAGACGAATGGGTTGACGAGTTTAGATAAGAATTTAGCTATTTTACGCTGTAATAAGCAACAAATGTGATTAGATGAGCGTAAGCCTGCAGCAATAATTAAGTAATAAATTATTATGTGTAAACTAATAATATTTTAATAATGTCCTAATTCTATTGTAAGGCGAACTATAACAATTCCTTGACTTATTCGTGACTTTTAAAACAGGTTATCCATTAATTTATTGTAGATAAAAAAACGCGATTTAATTTAGATATTTTATTATGTCTTGAGCAATAATATTTATAACACATAATTGTCATTGTTGTTATTATTGTGAATTGTTTTTCAATTCAGTTTGAAAATCTTTTTCATGTATTTGCAATACTAAGAACAAATATAAGTAAGGTAGTAGAGTAGACTCTTCGTAAACACAACGTTTCTTTAGAAACTTTTAATCAAACATACGAAATGGATATGAAAAATCTTGTAAACAAATATATAGTAAGTATCACACACATTCAGTATCAACTTTTCAAATATTTTGAAAAAAAAAAATAACAAAATATTTTTGTAAAAATCTGGCTCAACTATTGTGTCTGTATCTTAAATGTTAAATCTTTCTAAATCTAATGTTATTATATTTCTATAAGTGAACATATTTATTAGATCTATCTTCACGGGCTGATATAGAATGTTATGACACAGTGATGCGTGAGCACGAATACGCGAATTACTGTTACATAACATTCCGTTTGCGGATAAATCTGTACTTGGAGTTGTGTAACGTAAAATATATTTACTAGCTATTGAGCAGCAGTAGGTTGTATAGTCGTTTTTTCGGAGTGCGCTTCATTAATAAGCATTTTAAAGTACATTAAGGACTTATGAGTAGTGCTTAACTTAATAATGAGGAGATGCTTCATGAAGTGACGCCTAGAAGATTTAGCCTATGTAGATTATATCGGTAAGAATGAATCAAAGCTGGGGCATTAGATGCCATTGTTAAGTTACTTGTGTTGCGTATTTCTTAGGAATAATAATTTTGTAGAACATGAGTGGTGATACTATATATCAGTAACATTTGTCTGTATGTAATTAGTGTAAGTTTACTGAGCATTCTAAGAATTTCTCTAATGAGGTCTTTCCTGTGATTTATAAATATTGATTTTGTATATGCT